CTTTACAAACCCAAGTCGTAGGCTACAAATGGGTGATTTGGTATTCGTTGAGGAGTGGGAAGTCAGAGAAGGGTTTGAAAAATTGGGTAAGTTAGCAGTTGACTATATGCAGGATTATTCTGGAAGGTATACGCCTTGGATGACTTCTGGCTCAATACAACACCAAGCGACGGCAACAAAAGCCGAAATGGTACTTCTAAGACCTGGAAATTGGGTAACAGGCATAATAGAAAATATTAAAATGAAAAGGGGCAAACTCTTATCGGCTGAGGTAATGGCCCCAAACATGTTAAGAAGCCAGCTAATAAACACTAGACAAATGACACAAATTCGTCCCCATCAATTGAAAAAAGGAGGAATTATTGAAGTAGAATTAGCCAAAGTAATTAACCCGCAGGTGTGGAGAATGGGGAACAACTATATATTACCCGAAAAGACTCCGTTTAAAAGGGGAGATGAATATTGGGCACATCAGAACGATGTTATAATTGGTTTGAGGCCCTCAAGAGTTCAAGAAAAATACCCAATAATGCCAACACACACTAAAGACCAACAAGAAAAAACTATGGCAGCATTAGCCGCAGTTGCTGCGTGTCATCGTAATCGTGAGGACCAAGCTCTTAGAAAATGTGCAGTAGTAACAACGCTTAACTGGTCCGCTGAAGATCGTGCGCGAGAAAAAACTCTGGAAAACACTCTAGAGTTATGGTTCTCATACAGACCGAATACCCTCGCAGACTTGGAAGCGTACACGAGTGCTTTTGATGCGGACACTCCGTGTTTAATAAAAGTAAATGATCCGGACTTGAAACCTTGTGCGAAAGGTGAAGTAAAAGAAATCACAAAGGGTGTCAATGCAGAAGGATTTTGGTTTGAAGTACTACTCAGGGCACGTCATGAGGAAGCCCATAACTATGAAAGTAGCTACGAACATTGGGAAGGTATCATCGGTGAAGGTTGGGAAGTGCAGATAACACCAATCGCCAATCTCAAAAGGCTCCAACGTAGGGAGGACGTTCTGTCTAGTGGGTTCCCATTATCATTGGCCCACTCAGGTCACATGGTTGCCCCAATTTTACGTACTTTAATAGGTATTGAAGGTGACCCACCACTCCCATGCACGTTTAATCCTTTAGAAAATGATCACCCGGCAATGAGAAGGCTAAATCCACAACAACTTGAAACGGTAAAATTATTTCTGGATGGGGAGACGCGCCTGCTTTACCAGCAGGCGCCTCCCGGAGCGGGCAAAACATTAGTTTCAGGAGTCGCTATAGCGGCAGCTATCAGACGCCATCCTGATGCAGTTGTACTGGCAGTGGCCCCAATTAATGTTGCAGTGTGTGAGTTGGCCGAGGACACAACCAAGGCCATGTCCGTAGCAGGTGAGGTTGTTCCAATGCTTGCTTTATTCTCTGGTAGTGGAAAGTTTAAATACCAACAGAGAATTGAACAGGTAGGTAGTCACTTATTGGTTTGGAGAATAAAGGATGAGGACATTAGGGATCCATTGATGGCCCGAGCTGGGAAAAAGGTTGAAAGGTATGAGCGTGATGTGAAGGTTGCACCTAAAATAGCCCAAGAGAGAACAGTGGCATTTGAGTTAACCCAAATCAAAAAGTTTAAGGTCATATTTATGACACACTCTTTGGCAGAAGAACTCCAACTCTTTCTCGACGCCAGTCCTGATAGTCCAGATCCGAAGAAGGAGGTAATTTCACCACTGATCACCCATATGGTGATTGACGAAGTTGGCCAAGCCCAACATAACAGCGTAATCTCCAGTGTGTCACAATTTCCTAATTTGAAGAAATTGCTGATGACCGGAGACTACTTGCAGCTGCAGGTACACCAACCCTCTCAACCCTTGGTCATAAGGGACAAATTGGGTATGAATTCGGTATTGGACCGATTGAGGGACTGTAATGGGGTAAGTTTTGTGAGACTTACAACATCTTACAGATCGCACCCTAAACTGGTGAACTGCTTGGCATTGAGTGTCTATGAGCCAAATGGAGAACAACTAAGGCCAGGACTAAATGAATCCCAAAGGGACCTGCTGACTAATCAAATAGGATTGAATTTACCGATTCAAAATACTCCGATAATTTTGATTCAGCAAAATACAGCAGTGGAGATGGACCCAACGTCCTTCTCATTGACCAACGGTGGGCATACAATCACAACGGTAACTTTATTAAATGAGTTAGTCCCGCCACTAGCCTCTAGGAGAATGAAAATTCTCGTAATTGGTCTGTACACTGCGCAGGTATCTAACATTAGGAGAGCTATTAAAGAGTATAATTGGTCAAATGTCACTTGCTCGACTTGTGACGCAATACAATCACAAGAGGCGGATCTAGTCATTCTCACAACCACCAAAACTAGTGTGCAACAGAAGCAATCTAGTGAGGAGGAAAAGGGTTTGTTTTGGTCTGATCCGCGTAGGACTAATGTGGCGTTGTCCAGGGCCCGTTACGGGTTAATTGTGATTGGGGACTTACCATTCCTATGCCAAAAAGGAGAAGTTTGGGAGAAATTTGTCCTTGAGGCATGTAAACAAACAGTGGTAGTGACGCCGGCGTTCATTGAGCTAATGAAGGCTGGTAATATTCAAAGGGTGAATGGGGTAATTGCCGATTATAAAGGTGAGATACCAATCGCGTGGGACTTTTACGAAAAAATGAAAATTGATAGTAATTTAGTTGGAAAGCCACCACAGACCCAACAAGCAATGGAGTGCGAGAGCACCCAATCTACTAGCGGACAGGCCATACAGCCTGTACAGATAACCTCAACACAAACACCGGCTTCAGGTGGATATCAAGGATATTATGGACCCTCAACTGCACCTCCAGGGAGCCAACCTCAATGGACACAACCAGTGCAGATGCCACAACCGCCACAACATCAATTCCAACACCCTCAACAGTCAGGTGGACCAGTAATAGGGGGAATTTATCAAAAACAAATAATAGGGGTCCCTTTGCCTTCTAACGTCCCACAGGTGACACAGTGCAGTGGCTGTCATTCGATTGTCCCGAATGTGCACGAAGACATTTGTGACTACTCTCCTTGTATGGTTTGTCATGGAATAGCTCCTCATTTGAAAGGACAGTGCCCACGACGACCATGTGGATATTGTTACATAATGGGACATCAAAGAGACAATTGCCCTCATGCGCCGTGCTCTTGGTGTGGACAACAGGGACACACGAAAATAAATTGCATGTACAGAAGATAAGAGGATTTATAAAAAAAAATATTTTATAACTTTACTTTAGCCTCTAGTATAATAGCCTCTTGTAACACACACTTTAACAGCCTCTAGCAAATGTACACTTGATCATTAGCCTCTAGAAGACTTTGTCTTAGCCTCTAGATTTGTAACTTTACTCACAGCCTCTAAATACTTATTTTTTGTCACTAACTTAAACTTATTGGGACAAATTTGAAAAGACATTGAATAGCAAACACAGGTGAAAAACCCCGAAAGACAAGCGACGCATTATATAGATGCACGCGCAGCAAATCTTTTAAAAAAAGGAGCCGAGTAATTTAACGGTCTAACATCTCCTACCATAAAGGGACACTTTAAAAGATGCATTGGGTACAAGGGTTTTATAAATCTTGTTCCCTGACCCGCATGATTGTAATTTCATTGTAATTGTTTACCTGACAACGATCTTAATGCAACAAAAACCCAAAAACAACAGGGCCTGCAAAGATACAATTTAACCAAAGAGAAACAACTCTCTCAGACAAATCATCAAAAGACAAACTTTTCAACAAAAACTGCAAGAAAAAAGTTAAAAATAAAATGGAAGAGGACAAAAGCCGAAGGCGAGTTCCGAACCATAAATAAAAACATAAAAGCGCATTATAAAAAAAAAGGGAAAAGGAAAAGAAATCATCAGAAAGTTAAAAAAAAAAACATGTAAAAAGCAATCATCATTTAACGGACCAGGGACGGTCCTCGATAAGGTTGAAGGCAGATAGAATTGAAAAACAACAGAGAAACCAAAAAAAAACAACTAGGCACCAACACAGGCCCAGTAAAATCATCAAAAGAAAAATGAAAAAAACAACCTTCTCAATCAACAGAAAAACAAGAAAAGAAGAAAGCATTAATCGATAAATCTTGAAAAAAAAACAATGTAAACATAGTAGATTTATTCTAATGGGCTGACTCGTTTACCAACCCTTCGGACAGGTGTAATATAACCTAAAATGGCAGCCGAAAATGTTAAGTCTATTAGAATAAATACGAAAAAAAAAGAAAAAATTCCAAAAAAAAAAAAAAAACAAAAAAAACTTGGAAAAATATTCAAAGAAAAGACACAATAAAGTGCACTTTCTCGTAGCCCACATTCAATGCATCAAGAGCGGTCTTCAAGACCGAGGGTCCGGTCTTCCCCCAGGTTGGAGGTGTAAGGCCGTGCTTGTCCTTGACAAGCAGGAAGAACACTTAAGCACCCGCCCTATAAGGATAAGGATAGGATTATTTAATGCATGGGAAAACAGTTGAAAGGGATCAGTCTAGTTGGGCCCAACGGGAGAAGAAAAGCGATCACTTTGTCGGAGAGCAGCGACGCTAGCTAATTGTTTATTAATAAGCGCTAAATTTCTTTTCCCGGGAACGTTCTCTTTTGTTATTCAATGTCGACTCTATAATCAATTATATTATTAATAATTTTGTTAGCTTTAACTTTACTTTATTCAATCGCGATTTTAAATTTTACATTTAAATAAATATTATTTTATGCGCAACAATTAGGGCCTAAGCTTTGCTTCTAACGGAGCACATACAACGTTGTATTTGAAGATAGAGTAGCCCTCACGGTGTCGATACCTCGCCTCATTTAATTTACTGGGTGGCCCAATACGTGTAAACCTCACTATACTAAGGAGTCTTTTTTTCTTCATGTTTCTTTTCAAGTCTAAGACGAGGCAGAGAACATGATTTTAGCAAATTTTATTTTATTTCCAGTGATTTTAAACAATGAAAAATTTAATTCGTTATTTGCACACTTCATCATCTTTTTGTTCAACAAATTTCAAACAATTTCAACTTAATCCTCAGAGATGGCGAATTGAAGTTTCACTCGTTATTTACCGGTTACCTTTAATTGCTCCTCCAATGACTGAAGCTGAGAGGAATTTTGCTCAATTATCTGAAGTCAGGGAAAACCAAACGTCTTATAAATGTGATTTTGAATTGGAACTGGAAAAGGATGCGATGTAAGTAATTTAAAATTTTTGGGAAAATTGGGACTTTTTGACGTTAAAGATCGGTGTTGATTTGAATCCACATCTTGGGTTTTCATGACTCATAGTCAAAAATCTGGTCTAGATAGGCAACTGGGATCAAGAGTCCGGGAAGGGTGGCCCTTTCCAAATCACCAAAAGGGGGCATGGGCTCTCAAAAATGGGGACGAAATCGGTCAGAAGGAGGGGGCTTTAATTTATTCAAATTATTTTTAAAGTCTCTTGGAAAAGCGCAAAAAGATGGAAGCTGAAGGAAAAGATCTCAGTCATCTAGACCAACAATTGGGCGTTTCAAGTGTTCAAAAGCGCAATGAATGGAGTGAAAAGGCGCAGAAACTTATTGAGAAGTACAACCTTGATAATCCTTCCACCAATGCTTCTATGGATTTTAAATGTTTAAAACGTAATTTGGACAGGAAATTGGTGCTAGCTGTCAGACAAAAATTTGAAGATGCCCATACTGATGATTACGTCTCCCCTTGGATTTTACCTCAGTTGATGAACAAAAAAGGAGAGACTTTAAAAGAGGTTTATATTTTAGATAATATTTTTAGTTAATTAATTTTTTAATTTAGACTGCCCTCAGATTGCTTTCTTTATCATTACCTTCGGAGGATTCAAAAAATCCTTTTCCGTTTGAATTTCAAATGTATGGAAATGCACCAATAGCGCATTATTTATACAAATATACAGAAACGATGCAGGATAGGCTTGGATTTGATGGGTCTATTGTATGTTTTTTATAGAATTCTAGGTATTGTAAAACAAAGGAAGTGTAAGTATTAGGATCATTCCTTTAGGAATATGGGAAATTTTTGGTTTGGTATTGAAGGCCTCTGTGAGGCATTTGATCCAGATTAAATGCCAATGCCCGGAATTATCCTATGCCTAGGGCCCAGAACGGGCAATTTAAACTTTCTTGGGGTTTAGTGAAAGCCATTGTCTGGGATTTTCTTATACAAAAAGCATAGAAAGGCATTATTTCTTGCCTCTAATCCCAGGATCCAGCTGTCCTCTCGGTCTCTAAACTTATTAAATTTTCGTTTCCAGATTTTCTTTTACCCTGCCCAAATTCTTTATTCAAACAAAGCAATTAATTCTTGGACAGAAGTTGGATTTAACCCAAGTAAAATTGCTGATTACAAATGGTGTACTGGAGAAGAATTTGACAAACTTGTTGGTGATAAAAATTATAGAAATGCTTTCAAATCTGTTTTTGTTGAATAATAATAAAATGTTTTTTTTAATTTACTTTATTTTTATTTAACTCGTTTACTTTCGAGAATTTCTATCTTTTTTTCAATTTTTTTTATGATTTTTTGGACTTTTATAGTTTTAACTACTTGAGTTTTAATACTTTGTAAAGGTGTTTGATCCTGGATTCCTTATACAATTGGACCTCCCTATAAGATAACATCTCAATATAGTAGCCGTTTGTAAAATTTAGTTGGTCACTGGGTGAGAAGAAGGGATGTTATGGGGTTGGAATGTTGGTAGGGTTTTCAAAATTTTTTTCAAAATTTTCTTCGGGGCCTGGGCTGGGTCGAAAAAATTCGGGTATCGGGTTTCGAATAACCCGTGACCTCCTCGGTCGAGAGCTTTCTAAACTGACCTTCTATTTAAGACACACCTCGCTATATGATGCGATTTTCTCATCCCAACGAGCATATTTTATAAGGGGTTTTAACTGTGTTTTGATAACTACTCGCTGATTAAAAAGAGGAAAACACCTAAAACGAGGTGATAACAACGAACAAACACCTTGATTTTTTGTGTTCTAGAAATAGTAAATAACTAATTAATTTTACCCTTTTTTTTGATTAGTCAACCACCTTTTAATTTTTTTTCTTTTATTTTTTAATTTATTTTTAGACTATTATCTTGTATTTATTAATTGTTTTAAAAAATAATTTCTTCTAATGTCTTACCGTTTCGTAAAATTGCTAGGTATGTTTTTTAATAGATTAGACCATTAAAATTTAATTTTTAGACGCTGCAACCGACCAAACTTTGGTTGAACCTAACTGGGAAGGAATTTTGGAATGTGTGGATTTAATTAGAGGAAAGGAAGTTCCGTAAGTATTTTAATTTTTTAGTTGAATTTAATTGACTTTTTAGGGTCAAGGATGCAATTAAGGCAATTCAGAAGCGTTATCACAATTCAAATCCGCATGTTGCTCATCATGCGTTGATGGTATTGGAAGCTTGTGTTAAAAATTGTGGAAAGAAGGTTTTTGTTTTTTGGTGTTTAATGGGAGTTCCCTTTATGGCATATTCCTAGCCTTTCTCCTTGTTCGAAATATTTGGTCCATAGTTCCACGATTTTTCTTGGATCGTCGTTCGAGTTTCATGTTTAAGATCTGTTAGATTAGGATCTGGGTATTTACTGTATTGTAATGTTCGAGCATTTGGACTTCCTAATTCACTTTTTAAAAGCTAACAAATAAGCTTATCAGGTTTTTCTTAGGTCTGGATTTTCCGTGAATTTCGCTCCCTGGGATCGGCCCAGAACAACGAATCAAATTCCGAGTTTGAAGATTCTGTGCTTTCGACCATTTACTTTATACTGTTTTTCCATTTAGTTTATTGCCGAAATTGCAACCAAAGAATTTATGGAAGACTTGAAAAGTTTGGTCATTTCAAACCCTCAAGCCAACGTTCGAACCAAAATACTTGAACTTATTCAATGTTGGACTTCTGCATTCAAAGGCATTTCTGAATATAAAATTGTTGAAGACACTCATTCACTTCTAAAAATGAATGGATTTGAATTTCCGCCTATTGACGAAGCTAAAGCAATGTTTTTGGCAGAATCTGCTCCAGATTGGGCTGAAGGGGACAATTGCTACAGGTTTTGAATTTTTAATGTTTTGAAGAAAAATTTTCTTGAAATTTTAGATGTCGAGTTGAATTTGGCGTTTTTACTCGTAAACATCATTGTCGTGCTTGTGGACAAATATTCTGTGATAAATGCTCGAATAAGCAAATGTTGTTACCTCAATTTGGAATAGAGAAGAAAGTTCGAGTTTGTGAGGCTTGTTTCGATAAAAAGACTGTTCAACAGCAGCCAAAGGTTAATTTTTAAGGCTATTTGGGTGACGCGTGTTTTGGGGTTATTTTGAGTGGACTGATCCTTTTGGTGTATTTGATGAGGAACTTTAAATTGGTTCTTTTTCAGGCTGAAATTAACAAGGCTGCGGAAGATGCTGCTGCACGTGAAAAGGCTTTAAAAGAAGCAGAGGTTTTTTTTGTCATAACTCAAATTAATTTTGGTATTTAAAATTTAGGCTAAAGAACAAGAAGAATTGGAACTTGCTTTGGCTATAAGTCAAAGTGAAGCTGAAGCTAAGGTTATTCTATACATATTTTTGGAAAAATTTTTTTTATTTTTTAAAGCAAAAATATAATGGAATTGATCTTTCTTATATAAATAAAGCAACAAATGACAATTCTATATCTAGTGGATATGGTGGAGGACAAAAGTATGAACCTCCCCCGCAAACTATTCCAGTTATTGGTAAAGATGAATCTAATTTGTCTGGAATGGTTAATGATGATGCTAATAAAGATGATCCAATTGATTCTGTTTTGGCTACTTATTTGGATCGTGATTATTGGGAGAGGAAACGTAGAGAAGTTGAGGTTTGAGATTTAATATTAAAATAAATTTGGGCAGATCTATTTCGCAAGTCTTTTGATCCCACAATCCACCGGATTTTCAAAACTTTAATTGGAGTCCGGGTTGAGAAAAGGAAAAAACCCTACCTATCTCTAGTACCGTCAGTTCTTGACTACTCTGTGAAAGATTGACATGAGCTGGGTAGATCGTCTTTCACCTTTAAGCTGAAATCCCTCGTTGAATCCTTCTGTCATCATATTCCTCCTACTAGTTTTTTCTTCTAATCTTTTATTCAAAAAAGGAACAACCACTTCGCGCAACAGCTCCACCACCAAGTGAAATTTCCATTTCAATATCTTCAAGTATTAGCCAGCAACAACCTTTACAGCAAAATGGGAATACAAACAAAAGTTTAACAAAAACTCCAACAAATATTTCTAATGTCAATAACAACAACAATAATTATCCGTTAAATGAACCTTTGGATTTTTCAATTTTGGAAGATCAACAACAACAACAAATTTCTCAACATGATAATAGTTTATCACAAAATTATGCTGCAAAATTAAATATTGGAATGCCTATGGATATTGGGAAAAATGAATCTAATGATGTTGAGGAAGTAGCAGAGACTTTAAACTTTTGTAATGCTTTAAATGAAAGGGTATATTTTTATTTTTGATTGTATTTTTTTGGTTTTAAGTTTAGGGAAATTAATCTGAATTTTGAATTAACTGATTACTGTTACTAGGAACTGTTTTAAGGAGTGGAAGTGTTCTTTTCCCTTCCCAAAAATTATTTTTAATTTTTAAGGTTGATACAATGAAAACTCGAATGAGAAGTAACCAGTTACGTGGCCGTTCAATTGTTAATGATTCTGCAATTCACACATTATTTTCCCAGCTTACCGAGCTACATGCTATAGTTATACAAAAAATGACAAAATTGGAAGAACAGAGAGGTTTTTTTTTGAAATTTTTCACTAGAAAAAATTTTCAAAAAAATTTTTTTCAGAACATTATGAACAATTACAAGACCATTTAGCTCATATTCAAGAAGCCCGTCAAGCTGTAAATGCTTTGAGAGAAGAAAATGAACGTTTACGTCAGGAAAGAATTAAAGAAGAAAATAATCGCCGTAAAAGTCAATTGCGTCAAACACTTGAAGTTATGAGGGATAAAAAGAAGGTTAAAATGAATTTATATAAATGTGGAGGGTGGTTAAGTGGTTAGTGTTGTTGGTTTGTGGGGGAAAAAGAAGGAAAGAGTTTATGATGATTAAATTTTAACATCTTTCGGGTCTGAAAAGCTCGTGAAGTGACAAAGTTTCCTTGACTGAAGCTCTTTCTAATTTATTTTTTTTTACTTGAGGGGGTTCTTAAAAATTTTTTGAGAAATTTTTCTTAAAATAAATTTTTTTAAAGGAAATGTTAGTTAGCGGCCGTTATGTTGCTATCCAACGTTTTCATGAACAAGAATGGCAAATTCGTCAACAACGCTTATCTTCTCCACAATTTAACAATCCTGCATTACCAACAATGACTAATCAAGCGCCACCATTAGCTAATAATCCTGTTCCAATAAATATGATGAATAACAACAACAATCCAGTTACTTCAACTCAACAACAAATGATACATAATCCAATGCAATCAATGACAAACACTTCAACAATGCCTCCAATAATGATGAACAATCAAATGACAACAATGATGACTGCAGGTGTTCAACAGCCTCAAATTATGCCCCATCAACCAACTGCATATTCCAGCAGTCAGCCTCAAGCACTGCCCGCTCATTCAATGATGATGTATTCTTCAAGCAATCAACCTCAAGAGCTGCATGGGCAAGCGATGGGATACCCAGGCAATCCACCTCAAGTTAATCAAGTTCAACATCAACCTCAAGGGGGGATGCCAATGATGACTAATAATCCAATAATGAGCAATCATCATCAATCAATGACCATTCCAATGAATTCAATGATGAATACAATGCCTTCAATGACAACAACTATGCCATTGATGAATAATAACATGATGAATAACATGCCACCTATTAATAATCATCCTTCTCAACAACAATTCCAAATGCCACCATATCATCAACAGCAACAACATTATATAATGCCTCCAATAACTTCTACTCAACAGCATCCGGTAAATCTTCAACAACAACAGAATTCAGCGGTTCAAGAAGAGGAACAACAGAAGAAAGAAATTCAAGTGCCCGAAGATTGGTTAATATCTTTTGACTAATTTAACTATTGAAAGAAGGGGAAGAAAGGAGAATTCTAAAAATAAAATTGTGTATATGTGTTAATTTGAGGATGTATGAATTTATATAAAAATATTTTTTTCGGTAAAGTGATCAAATTAATAAAAAATAATTTTTAAAATAATAAAAATTTATTTTATTGAATTTTCTAAAATAAATTTTTTAAAATAAATCTGTTTATATATTTTTTGTGTAGTATCCGTTTAATTACGGTGAATATCTTTATTCTTTATTTCAGCTTATGAACAGGTTGAATGCTGTGGAAGATGATAAACTTTGCAGAAAGCTTGGAGCTGATATTCTCGATTATTTTAATTTGGATTTGATGAAGGTTTTGTTTAAATTTTTGGGGGAATTTTGAACTTTGAGGGTACTCTTGCTTCCTATTTTCTTTTTTTATTGATTTAATGTCAAGTTGTTGCTTTCCTTGTCTTGCTAATCCATTTATGATTGACCCCATTTTTTCCTCCCCAAGCTTTTCCTATATATCTACAGAAGTCAGACTTCATTTTTTCGTCCATTCCAATTTCCTTTCTAATTTTGTCTACAAACAATCAAAAGGAATTATAATTTTTATTTCCCATTGGATTGAAGAAAGGAAAAAGTTTACCATTCTGCAACTATTTAGGAAAACACTTGGGGAGGAGGGGGAGGGATGGGGTCTATCAGGTTCAATATTACCAAATTAGGCCCTGATTACGATTTGCTGCCATTATTTTTTATTCTTGATATTTCCATTTTTTAAATTCTTTTATTTTTCAGTTCTCATCATTCTGACTATAACGGAACACAGAAAGAAGAAAAAGAAGAA